CTACATGGTCTTCGTATAAGACGTCGCTGGTTTGCTTCGGTCTCATCCTACGTTCGTCACATGTCTGATGCTAATGATCGACTCTGGCCGATGCTATAGTGTGGTATGTTATGGTGCTCTTTCGATGTCCCTAGCTGACTTGTCCTTCGCCAACACAAGCACCTGTTCATTTCTGGCGCCTTTGGCGACTCAGATCTCAGACCCAGTGAAAACGTGCAGAATTTCCTTGAAATTAGAACCTGTTAGTATATTTGCATGTATTTGCCTAACATTATTTCCGGCCACCTCGATGACAAAAGTCGCGCGTGACTTTGATTGTGTATCACAGCCCATCGAATGCATACGCAAGACGGACTCGAATGCACGACCGTGACGCTCGCAATACGTCCTGGATGGACTGACAGCTCGGACAATTGTCCGCGGCGCGTCTGTGCATCTAGCTTGAGTCTTGCTTTGGCTAGCCGGTGTGCGCTTTCGATTTGTTTTCAACTACCTGTCTCTCTCTAGTGGAATGGCTGGCTCTGGTAAACATGGCAATGGCACTACCGATAAATCTGGGCGCATATTTGGCTGTCAAGAAGGCTGCAAGGGGAGCAAGGGACTCGTATCAGAGAAGATGTTCTGGCGACACGCTCTGTTCCGCAAATCGGCGCAAGGTCACCAGATAAGCCGCCTTCTTGCAAAACATATACCGGAGACATCTACCAGACAAGATGCTGAGCCGAGTCAGCAACTTCCGCCTGCCAAAAGGCGGAAGCACTCGAGCCAGCAGGCATCAGTATGTCACCGGATTCTGTTTAGCATCTATCGTCTAACAATAAGATGATTGGCCCATAGCCGCCCAGAAGCAGACCACCATCAGTCCCTTCTGGTACAGCCGTAAGTACTGCATCTATCCCGGTGCGCTCAGGTAACTTTCGGGACCCCTGCGCTGCTGGCGGTTCCGCTGCATCTGCTACTCGTGGCCCTGAACAAGATGATGTTGCTCCTATGGACATCGAGATGGATGATTCTCGGGAAGGGCTGTCTGGAGAGGCCGGAGGGACTCCAGGCTCTCAGGCTGCCGGTTTGAATATACCCGCCACTCCCCGTCCTGATGTTGAAGATGTACCGGATGAAGGGGACCAACCTGCCAAGGCATAGGTGCGTCCAACAACCGGTCATATTACTCATCTGATATAACTACTCTATAGAAATGCACACTTGCAAAGGAGGGCAAGCTGCGGCCGTCGAAACGGAGGACGAAGGATGACAGCACTGATGCTGGTGTCGTCGATTCTTGGTGGGTTCTTCCCCTATATTATGAGACGGCACTAACAGCATGCCACAGAGATTGCAATGTGGTGTCGCACTGTCTCAGTAGGGTGTGTGGGCAACGGGCGTGCAGGCGACGGGGGTGCGGGGGGGCGGGAGGGGCGGGAGAACAGGAAATAGAAGGAAATATGTTATAAAATGCGGGTAAATCATGTAAATACAGTGGCGAGTAGAAGGTAGAGGGAAAATGGAAGTAAATTCACCAGAATGCCAATAAATTCCTAGAGAAATGTGCAGGGCTACCGCGGGGACAATAAATACCATAATCGGAATGCACTGCTGCTGTCCCTGTGTACTGTATCACGACTGGTCGCAAGGGACAGGGCTCTTGGGACTGTGGAAAGGATGACGGATGGCTCCTTCCCGCTCATGGGGGCAGGTAATGGTAGGTGCTTCGTACTGCTTCTGCACGTACTTCCATCTGCAGGGTTTGCTTTGCGGCGCAATGCACGCTCTCCCATCGATGCCTAGGATCTCAGCGATTCTTACTACGACTGCTAGCCGTGCGAGGATCGCGGAGATTTCGAATCTCTCCAATGCGGATCCACGGCAGCCCATGCACTATACTCGCATACCCTGCGCAAGTGCGTCCGCGACTTACATATCTTCGATGCGGGGTGTGTCGCACTGAGTACTAAGTACTGATCGTTCACAGCACTTGCATAGGATGGGACATGGCTAAGTACTTACTCGCAGATGTGTATTGAGGAATTGAGTCCAAATGAGTGAAGGAGCCAATGCCTGAATCCGAGGTAAATCTGGAGCTAAAAAGAAGGCCACATGCATATATCCAACGATCCGAGCCACTGAGTCTGAGCGCTGGGGAGAGGAATACCCGGCAGCTCCTGTCCGAACTGAAAGACCCATCCCGCACCACGAACGAAAGCTCACGCCTTCGTCACCCCAACTCCCTTCTCCCCGTCCCACCCCTTCGCATCCACGGGCTCACGGAGCAGGAACCCTGGGTGCAGGAAATTGAGCGTCCACACCGCCAGCACGACCATCGCGCCGTCCATCCCGTCTGCGTTGCGGCGTTCAGCTAAGTAATGTTGGGGAGGAGAGAACGAACCAAAGTACGCTTGCACGCGAATCACATGGCCGAGCCACCCGTCCGCGAGCTCGATCGTCCTGTAGATCGCCCTGCCCCGCGCGTTCAGCACCGTACCCCGCAAGGAAAAAATGGACAAGACAGGGACGTACCGCACGTATAAAAAGAGCGTACTCAGCCCAACCCCCACCGCTAACCACGCGAGCCGCGCGTCGAGCGCCCCGCGCTTGGTGGAGGTGTGGCGGACGGGGCGCGCGAGGAGGTAGTTGAGCCCGAATTCGGTGGCGAGGAGGAGGAAGATGGACATCGCGCCTGGTTATCGGTATCGCAGGTCAGTGGAGGGAAGGACGGGAAAAGGGGATAATGTACCTAGTTGGAAAGCGATACCCGCGAGGAGGATGTTGCTGCCCTACAGTAGTAAGGTCAGGAAGGGGAAGCGAGAAGGAGGATTGAAAGGGGCGTACTTGGTGGATGGACTCGATGCTGTACGCCGACGCGGCGCGCGCGCCGCCCGCCGCTTGGAGGAGGAGGGAGATCACGTCCTGTTCAGACACGCCGCGTTACATCAGCATCCATTAAGTCCCTGCGAGGTGGGGAGGGGGCTCACGCAGGAAACGAAGACAATTGTGTCTGGGTGGAAGAAAGGAGTGAATAAAGAACGGAGAAGGCGGAAGGGGGAGGGACGTACACCACCGCGGGGGCAGCCGGCTGTACTGCGGCCCCAGCCGCGCGATGAGCCTGCCCAGGAGGACGAAGACGGCTGCGAGGAGCGGGGTCGGGGCGATCACCAGCGAGACCAGTCTATCCAAGAAGCAGCCATTTGGTCAGCCCTCAGATATAAAAGGACGTGGGGTTGGCTAGGAACGCGTACTGCATCTTGAAGGGCACCTGGTTGAGCAGGTTGTAGAACGACCAGAGGCGCCCGGCCCAGCCGATCACTTCGCCTGCGGTGCCGGGGATGACGGTGATGAAGAGCCACCACATGCGATAGTAGAGTGCCTGGGCGACGTGCAGGACTGTATAATATCAGACGAGGATGTTAGTTGCTAGTAAATTCGAGCGTGGGAAGAGAAAACAAGGGGGGAAGGGGCGTACCGAAGGAGATGGAGAAGAGAACGACGAAGAGGATGCAGATCCATTGCGTGGGGACGTAGTGGTAGGACGAGACATAGTCGATCTCCGCGGGGGAGAGGCCGGCGGTTGTGCTCGGTGTGTAAGTAGGGACTAGGGATATTCAAATCCAGTTAGCGGTTGGCCATATTATCCAAGACAAGAATATAAAAAACTTGAATGACAGACTCACTTAGCGGAGTAGTAGCAGTAGCAGACATAATTTACTCAAGGGCACCCTAACCCCCCCCCTCCGCGAGCTTTTATACGCCCCACCTGCCAGCGTCGACATCTGCTTCCCGGGAGGACGTCCTCCCAGGCAACGATGCATGGCAGCGTAATAACGGGCCGCGTCCATTGGCCTGCAAGTGTCCCTTCGGGAGCGCCCCTGCCCGCCGGGTGGCTGGGCAGACATCTGCACGCTTACGATGGGCGGATTACGTGCATGCTATTACTTGACGCCTGTGCGTCGAGGAGGACCTACTGCCAGTGTCGATGCCTCGCATTATTTCTAAAGAAATGGTCCTAGCTAGGATAATACGTATACTACCCGACCAAGCAGCCCAGTTGGCGAATACTGTAGAAACTTGAATCTCAACCCGTCCCGAAGTCGCCATCAAAACGTTGTTGACCCCTGTTTGCCCTCCTCCTAACCTCGCGCCTCTGTGGCTGTGCAGTCCACCTCCCCCCTTCACCTCCATCCAGTCCTCATCCACAACCTACACGCACCATGGCACCCACCACCGCAGACGAAGAAACGAACCCATACGAGCTCGTCGGCGTCCCGCTCGAGGCGAACGAGGCTGAGATCCGCAAGGCGTACCGCCAGAAATCGCTCAAGGTCCATCCGGATCGGGTGAGTTGTCTTCACTGCTTTCTCTCTCCTTGCGCGTTCGACGGCAGCGTACTCATTTGTGCGCGTGGTGATATATAGAACCCCGATTTACCGGATGCAGGTAAGCGTTCTTGTAGTTGTCATTAAAAGGAGAGAGTGGTATTGACGCGCACGGGAACCAGCCAAGAAATTCCACGAGCTCACGCAGGCGTACGAGCTCCTGCTCGACCCCCTCCGCCGGCTCGCCGTCGACGCGCGCCTCCGCCTCGCCGCCGCGCGCGCGCAGCGCCACGCCGCGTACGACACTAAACGAAAAAACATGGTGGAGGAGCTCGAGGCGCGCGAGCGTGCGTTCAAGAAAGCAAGGGTGCAGAAGGAGGAGGAGGAGGTGCGGCGGTGGAGGGAGAATGAGCGGATTATGGATGAGGGGCGGCGGATGAGGGAGGAGCGGGCGCGGGAGGTGGAGAGGCGGGAACGGGAGGTGAGGGAGAGGGAGCGGGAGCGGGAGGAGGGAGAGGGGGCGCCGCCGGCGCTGGGTGCGTACAGTCCCAACCCACTCACGCGGACTGCGATTGAATATTTATACCCCACCAGGGCCCCTCGACACCACCGTAAAACTCAAAATCCCGCTCTCCACGCACCCGTCCCTAACCAACCCCACTGCGCTCGCCGCCCTCCTCGCGCCCTTCGGCCCGCTCGACGCCTCCTCCATCGTCCTCTCCCTCAGGCCCAACAAGAAACACCCCGACAAGCCACCGAAATTTGCGAGCGCGCTCGTGCCGTTCAAGACGATCGGCGGGGCGTTCGCGGCGGTGTGCGCGGGCGGGCGGGCGGAGCGCGGGATGGCGGGCATCGAGGTTACCTGGGCGGGGGGCGCGGAGCCGCCCATTTTGGGGTGGCTGAAGGAGAAGGGGGAGCTGGGGGGGGTGAAGGGCGAGGGGAGGGGAGAGAGGGAGAAGGTGAAGGAGACGGTGAAAGATCCGGTGGACGCGAGGGTGGGTGGGGAGAAAGCGGCGAACCCGCAGGACCGGCCGCCCGCCGACCCGTCGACGCCGTTCTCGTCGTTCCCTTCGTCATTCGTAAGCCCGCTCTCTTCTTTCCCCCCACCGTCTGCTAACCTCCGTTCCTTCCTTTTTCTCGTTCATCACAGCCCGACAACCTGCCAACGCCCACCGAGACCCCCAAAACGCCCGCGGTGCCCGGCCTCGACTTCGAGTCGATCACGCTTATGCGGATGCGCCAGGCGGAGCGCGAGCGGCTCGAGAGGCAGATACGCGAGCAGGAGGCGCGGGAGGGGCCGTGAGGTGCGTGCCCAAGCGCACCCGGCGGGGATGTTGATCGTGCGTGGCCTCGAGTTGATTGGCGTTGGCACGTCGCATATTTATTCTACTACTTTGCTCTACGCTCCCCCCCTCCCCCCATTTATACTTCCACGTTCACCAGTGTCCCCGCTGTCACGGCACCTGCCTCCGCTTCTCGCGGAACACCGCCGATGTACTCCGTGCATACATGGTCCCGTCGTCAACTCATCGAACATCCCCGGCTGCATCACACACTGCCCTGCAGTACCTCGGTTCTCGTGCACGCATATACATCAAGCCATGGAAGTCCCAGAAAGCCATGCTATTCATATTCATATTCATACACAACAATCACCCTGCCCTTCCCCTGCCCTTCCCTCCGCCTCCCTCTGCTCCTCCCCATCTCCTCCCCATTTAATCCTCCCATCTACTCATCCTCGTCCTCGTCGTCCCCTCCCGCGCCAGCTACCGTCTTAACAGGATACCGAATCCCCGTCTCGGGACACGCGCTCGCGCGGCTCGCGTGGCTCTGCACGAACTGGCCGTCCTGCAGGGGCCCCTCCGCGTTCAGGTAGTACATCACCGTGCTGAGCGTTGAGTCGGTGCAGGTGAACTATCCGTCCACGGGGATTTGGGGGGTATGGGAGGGGCGAGGGGGGGAGACACGGGCGTGAGTAAGGGAGGGGGAAGGAGAGGGGGGAAGCGCTCACGTCTGGGACGAACCCCGTCGCTTTTTCGACTGCGCTCTGCAGGTCCGCGAGGGCGTAGGTGTCCGTGTCCGAGGGGGTGATCTGAACGGCGGGGGTGAGGAGTTTAAGGGGGCAGAGGAGGGAACGCACGCACCCCAGCGGCGGCGAGCGCGTTGTACGTGTCGAGCTGCTTGAAGAGACCCACGACGGTCGAGAAGTAGGGCACGACCTCCATCGCGGTCTGATAGTCCGCGAAGCACGCAGGCTCGAGCGTGCTCACGCTGCATCCGCCCACCGAGTGGTCAGCGTCGCCGTCACTGCTCCTCAGCGCCACGCGGGAAGCTCACCACGTCCCGTGCGTGCTCCACTCGTGCGCCCAGAACGCGGCGGGGGACTCGTCGTTGCTGACCCAGTACGCGCTCATGTACTCGTACAGCGCCTCGCCCGCGCTGCTGCCCTGCAGGGCCTTGGTGATCTGCCCGGCGGAGTAGGCGCGCGCGCGGTCGCAGTCTTCGTAGTACTGGTTCGCGCAGGTGTCGGGCCTGCGAGGCGAGCAGGGAGGGGTAAGCACGAGGGACCGGGAAGAGGACGAGGGGCGCGCACCAGAGCCCGTGGATGCCCCACGAGTTGGCGACGCCGTAGCCGACGTCCCAGAACTGCGCGTGCACGAGGACGCCGCCGGGGCGCACGACCTATGTATGCGTCCGTCAGCAACATCCGCCTGTCATCGGCTGGGACGACCTGGCACTCACGCAGCACGCGCTGGTGCTCTCGGCCTGGGCGGAGCAGCTGAGCACGGGCGGGGCGGGGCACGCGTCGGCCTGCGCGCCGGCGTGGACGGTCGACCCGGGGTCGAGGCGCAGGTGCGTCTTGGCGCGGTGGTGGTGGTGGTGGTGGTGGTGGTGATGGCTTGCAGTAGGGATGGGGGCAGAGAGCGAGAGCGATGGGTGGGAGTGGTTGGCGAGCCCGGCGAAGGGAACGAGCAGCGGGGCGACGAGCGCGTCGGGGACTTTCATCGCGGTGTGGGGTGGGTGCGTGCACAAGAGTGCTGCGGGTTTATATGGGATTCCGAGCAGAGGCGGGGCCGAGGAGGACAGATGGCGATGTCTCTCACTCTGAGGCAGGAATAGCTCGGTGACATCATGGCTGTATTTAGTGTTTTCTCTACTCGTGGAAGGGGCTGACTCGCGAACGTTGGTTGCCTTGTGGAGACAGAAAAAGACACCGATACAAAACTCCGTTGTGGCATGGACGCCACAAAGTCATCAACGACTGCGCAACGTTCGTCCTGACGTTCATCGTTCAGATAAACTCCAGAGCCCGATATACACCCCGTGGCAGATCTAGAGTCGGCTCCGAATACTAGTACCAGCATTGTTCTGTTGCCTGGTGCCGCGTGTTTGAAATCCAATATCAATACCGAACCACAATCGTCATGCAAACCCGCACTCGCAGACTCGAGCGCAGTGTGCACCGATCCCACAACGAACCCTAACCTTATCACCGGCTTCCTTCCCACCCGCCGGACGGGGCTTAAAGAAGTGCTCGAACTTGACTGCGCGGCGCGGGGAGAGGGAGGGGGAGGAAGAAGGAGAGGGCAGCGACACCCGCGAGTCTTCTCTTCTCCTGCCTCTCGCCTTCCTGCACCCGACGCGCGGAGGAGCGTCGTGTGGCGTTCTGCCAGTCGGCGTGGTGAGCTTGGGTGGTTTCCTGTCTGCATGTGCCCGGATCCCGAATCTGTTTCCCTTCCCAAATGATGGGGAAGGCGGAGGACAGCCGGCAACCGCCCGCGCCCAACCTGCCACCCGCTCCCCCGCCGCGCGGGTATGGGCGATGGCGCCCGGTGCGGGGTGGAGGACGAAGCGCCTATACGCACGGGGTGGCCGTGCTGTGTCCGTGATTGGGATGAAAGAAGGGAGGGAGGCCCACGGATATTTACGCGTCCGGGTTCTCCGACGTACCAGCGGGCGTCGCTGCTACCTTGCTCGGACGGCTGAGACTTCTCGCTCAGCCTGGGGCACGGGGGACTGGCAGTGCAACTGATCGGGAAGACGAGTCTTGCGTCCTGAGCTCCGGGTTGGGTGTTCAAATCAGGAGTAGACAGTTGTATAAGGGCATGGGGGAGGAGGCTGCGACCGACTCCACCGGCCGCCGCACTCCTGGGCATAGACGACGGGGAGGATGTCCGCTCACCCGTCATCTACTACTGTACAAGTGCCTACTCCTGCTGTTTATACCATGGTAGACTATATTGACAGGGTTTGGGAGGGCGCGTAAAAAGACGAGAACAGTAGAATAAAGAAGCTAAGCAGGGGATAAACTTGAAGGCAGTTGAGACTACAAGCCGCGTTGAAATTACGGTCGGAGCGCTGGCATGTGACATGTCATCCCGCGGACGCAAGGCCTCACACCTATCCTCCGCAGGCTCCGTCGAGGTCCGACCATGTCCCCGGGTACACAGTCACAGTCTTGTTGGACCTTGACGGAGCCTGGGGAGGACAGGAGCTTCTCAGTTCACATGCTACCGCGTCGATTTCCTGTGGCGTCGCACTCGAACACGAACGCCCACTTGAGCGGCGCGAGGCGCACGCGCTGCGCGCCCCATCCCAGCGCGAGGGTCTGCTCGCGCGCCAGCTGCCACGGCTTGGACTCTGCGATGCAACCAAGGTGAGTGCACACTCCAGGGTAGGGTGCCAGTGTACCAGCAAGGAGGCGGGGCGGCAGGAAAGGGCGCGCACCTGCGCGCAGCGCGTACCCCTCCCCGGCGAGCTCGAGCGCTGCGGGGGTGGCGAGGTTGGTGGTTTGCGCGGCGAGGGCGGCGATGAGCTCCTGCAAGTGGGTGTGGGTGTGGGTTGTGGGTGTGGTAAACTGCAGAGCAAGGACGGGCGCACGCTGATCTCGCGCTGGGCGAGGAAGAAGGACGCGAGGGCGTCTGCGGTGGGCTCCCTGGGGGCGTGCGCTGCCAGTGAGAGGAGAAGCTGCGGGGAAGGGGGAGGGGACGTACTTTGCTGCGCGGAGGGAGACCTGCACGACGCGCCCGCCGTGTGCGTCGACGTCGGGGAGGAAGAGCAGTTTGGTCTGGTTCAGGCCGAGCAGGATCTGCGGGGAGGACATTGTAATTTGAAGGTCGCTCGTCTATGCGAGGGCTTTATATACCCCCAAGCGCCCTTAAGCTTCTGAAATATTTGTCTGAACGCGAATCCCTCCGGCCTGATGGATGCCAGAGTATGCGTCAGGTCATGACTATCGATACAGATCTACAGGCATTATACAATCGTAAGTACTCTACCAAGTAAACCCAAGTGTAAAACAGGAAATGGGGATAAGCCGAGAGTAGGTGATACAGCAGGTAGGTATACGCGGCGCGGGGCCCACAGCTAGGAATACAATCGTCCATCATTTCATTTCGTCGTTTCGCTGCGCCCGGATCGTTAGAGCGCGCATGCTTACACCATCCCCTGCGTGCGCCGCTCGCGCACGATCTTGTACGGGTGCACCCGCGCGCCCTTGGCGAGCTCCCGCCCGGGCCCGCGCACGTGCCGCAGCGCGTCGCCCACCAGCAGCAGCGGCTGGTCGGGCTGCGACGAGGCGGAGGGGGGCGGGACGACGAGCACGGCGTCGGCGGATGCGAGCGGGGCGGGGACGAGCCGGAATTTCGGGGGCTGGGGTTGCGGGGGCGGGCGCGGGGAGAGGGAGAGCGCGGATGGGGAGGTGGGGGGCGGGGAGGGCGAGGCGGAGAGCCGGGAGCTGGTCGTGGAGGAGACGGAGACCTGGCGCGGGCGGTGGAAGAGCGGGTGGGTCAGGTCCGGGGACTGCGGGTCGGGTTTGGTTAGTATCGGTAGCACAGGAGGAGGGATGGGAAGGGGGCATGGCGTACCTGGAAGTCGTTCGAGTCGTTAGAGGAAGTGGAAGTGGAAGTGGAGGCGTGCGGCGCGAGCGGGTAGGGCAGGTCGAGCGACCGGAGGGGCGGGAGCGTCGGGCGCGGGGTGGCGTGCGCGGGCGTGAAGAATGCCATTGCGTGTCGTCGGTCGTTCGTAGGATGAGTTGGAGGGTGGGTGTGGTGTGGAAGGGTGGTGATGCGAGAATGGGATATGGGATATTAAGCGTAGAAGTACCACCGGGGTATCGAGGGCCTGCCGTCCGTGCTAGTAAAGATGGATAGATAAACAACAAGAAGAAAACGGGTATAAGCTGGCTGGCTGGAGGTGACGGGGCAGGTGGGGCGGTGAGGGGGCTGTCACCGCCCCGCCCGCCCTTATAAGCATGCAGGACTTGCAGAGAACTCGTAATGCCCAGCCGTATTCGGGTGTCAATAATCAGGAAAAGTCAGGAATGGGAATAAGACGGGCGAGGGAAGAGTAAGCATTGTGTTGTAGCGGGAGCAGGCATTGTCGAGCGAAGAGCACAATACGGACTTGGCGGACAAAGGCACGTTGTTGGTCCTTGTTTGCGCGCCACCGCGGTTACATGTGCGCAAACAAGGCCAAATACGCGCCTGCATCCTCACGGACAACCCTCCTGTATTCGTTCCATGTGCTGACTCTTTGTATCGAGCGTAATGAAATAATTCAGAGTTGCTTACATGTTACCAGCAACAAACGAAACTCGCTCTGCAAGGAGGTCCAAACTCCCAGCGTACCACACAACCGTGGGAATCCCTGCCCTCATTGTACCCCGAATAATGGGACCGCAAATTGATCGCACCATGACCGGGCCTGCACCTCCACAGACTCTTTGTACGTGACACGACCATGGCCGAAGGCGTCCCCAAAATCCGCATCGTGAGTCCCTGGCTTGTACCCTCTGTTTATTATCCTCCCTCATTCGTCTTGTTCCCCTTCTACCGCACAACTGAACTGAACTGGACCTCGAACGCTTGAATGTGAACGTGGATGTTAACGAATATGGCGTATGATAGCTGAAAGGCGCCGCGCCCGACCTCTCCGCGGCGACCTTCCAGATCCACGACGAGTCGCACACCGTCGGGAACGCGCTGCGCTGGATGGTCATGAAAAAGTGCGCATATCCTCCCATCCCCCCGTCGTAACTGACTCCCGTCGTCGTTGTCGTAGCCCGAAAGTGGAGTTTTGTGGATACAGGTGAGTAAAGTGCCTATAGTTTGGGCTGGAAGGGAGCCGTTGTGACGTCGGGCTATTGTCCGCCGCTCGTATTCCGACAATGGCGGTCTCGCGGTTGGGATTCGAGGACAGAGGGGCGGAGCGCGCGTCGGAGCAGGCGACACCCATCCAGCCCGTATACCCCCGCCTCTCTACCCCCCACCGCCCCCACGCCCATCATCCTAACCGAACACGACGCTAACTCCCTCCTAGCGTCCCGCACCCCTCCGAGAACCACATCCACGTGCGCATCCAGATGTACGGTACGTGTCCCTCCTCCATCCCCGTCCTCTCCAGCCCATTCCCACGTCTGACCCCGCGCACAGACAACCTCTCCGCGCTCTCCGCGCTCCTCGAGGCGCTCGCGAACCTCGACGACCTCTGCGCGGCGATCGACGACGCGTACACCGTCAGCCTCCGCCGGGATCCGTACGAGGTGTGGGACGAGAAGAGCTGATGTCCCGTGGAGCCGCGTGCATGCGGACTGATGCGACTGGGGACACGCGCAAAAGTAGGATAACCATGTTACTAGTACGAAAGTCAAGGCGAGGGACTACATAGCGGGCTGTGATTGCTGAAATATGGAGTGTACAGATAATGCAAGGAGGAGAATACATGTGATGTACAGGGAGAAGCAAGCTGGGTACTGGTTACAATAATCGTGAGATGCATCGAGCGGGTCGGGCGGGTGGGGTGGTAATGCAAGGACGTGAGAACGGGGCGAGCAACAGAGCCGACAGCTCCTAGCACATATACACAACAGGCACGACGCGCTTCACCTGGTCCATCACCTCCGGATCCACCGCATAGCACTGCGCGAGCTTCAGATACCTCAACTCCCGCCCCGCCGCCGCCCGCGCGCCCGCGACGCGCAGCAGCTCGTGCCCGCTGAGGTCGCGGCACGCCTGCAGCGCGAGCGCCTCGAGCCGCGGGAGGAGCCACGGCGGGCCCGCCGCGAGCAGGTCGAACAGCTTCGTGCCGAGCACGCCCGACGGCGGCGAGCTCAGCCCGAGCGCGGTCACCTGCGGCAGCGCGTGCAGCGCGCGCACGAGCGGCGCGAGGTGCACGCCGTCGAGCGTGCACGCGCGCAGGTCGAGGTGCCGCAGCGACGGCAGCCGCGCGGTCACGAGCGGCAGCCAGGTCATCGTCTCGTCCGCGGCGCCGTCCATTTGGACTTGGAGTGTGTGCAGCGCGGGGAGCGACGTCGAGGAGAGGAAGAGCGCGAGGTTGGTCGATTCGAGGAAGTGGAAGGAGAGCGTGGTCAGCGCGGGGATGGGCGTGAGCGCGGGCGCGGCGTCGAAGATCGGCTCGGCCCCGCTGAGGAGGAACGTCGCGGACTGGACGAGGAGCGTCTGCAGCGTCGGCGTGCCCGCGAGGAGGGACATGAGCTCGGAGAACGAGATCCCGATGCGCGACGAGGACGACGAGGAGACGTAGCGCTGGTCGCGGATGAGGTGCAGTTTCCGCAGGGCCGGCAGGTCCGCGCGGATCGCCGCGAGCGGCGTGTGCTCGAGCACAATCGTACGCAGGCGCGGGCACGCTCCGCGCAACAACGTGCACGGCGTCTGGTCCTCCGTGTCCGCGGGGTCGACGCGCAGGTACAGGTCCTCGAGCGCAGGCCCGAGCTCGCCGCAGTGCGCGCGCACGACGCCCATCCACTCCCAGTCGGGCACGCTCACGCGGAACGAGAAGCACCGCGCCAGGTGCGGAGCGAGCTCGGCCATGATTGCGCGCAGCTCGGGCGCGACGTCGAGGTAGCGGCAGTCGAGGTCGACGAGGAGCTTCGCGGCCGCGGAGCGCTGGAGGTACAGGCGCATCTTCGCCTGGAACTGCGCGGAGCGCGAGTAGCCCCAGTGGTAGTCGAGCTTGACGTACGACCACAGCGCGGGCGTGTCGAGCGCGAGGCGGCGCCACTTGCGCGAGACGAGCGAGAGCGTGTACAGGAGGTGGTGGTGGTGGTGCACGCCGAGCTCGAAGACGCGCGCGAGGACCTCGGGCGGGACGCGGTCGATGAGCGCCTGGCTCGCGAGGATCTCCTTCCGCCGGATGCGCAGGCTGGCGAGCTCCGCCTCGAGCTCGGCGACCCGCTCGTCAATCGAGACAACCTCGGGCGGCGTCGGGCGCGGGTCTCTGCACGGCGAGTCTAGTCAAGCTGTGGCGGGAATGGGCGGCGGGGACTCACATCGTGTTTGGGTCGACCTCGTCGTCTGTGATGGCGCGGACGGCGTGGATGTCGTCCCAGGTAGCGAGGTCCATCCATGTCGGGACGGGGTCGGCCATCGTCGTCGTTGCATTAGAGCTCTGCGGCCACAGCGCGGGGAACGAGCACCCACAGCCTGCGGTCGAGACTCGTTCCGGCTTCTGCCGCGGCACGCCAGATCTGGTCGATGTACAATGTACATTGGCTTCGTGCTATATACAGGGCAACTACGAGGCGAAAACAATATGGACACAGCAGAAGTACGTATGCGAGCAAGCAAGCAAGCATTTTGACATGGCACGACACGATCCAAGAAGAAATCGCGCAGAGACGGACGAGAGGTATCCGGGTAATGAAGCAAGGGAGGCCGCTCAGCTCTGGGAGGAGAATGAAATTAGAAAGGGGGGTCGTCATACAGTTGTGTAGCTCCCTGCAGCCAAAGGATCCATTCAGGAGATGAGATACGCAGGAGTAGTAAGGACACCCACATATCCGCGCTTGCCAGTCCCCGCTCCCAGTCGCTAGCAACGATCCCACAGGACTCAGATCGATCGAGATGACTGCCAGATTGTCAGGAAAAACAAGGGCATAAAGGCCAGCACTACCCACCCGAGTTCTTGTGCCCCTGGAGCATACACTGCCACACCGCCGTCCGCGAGTCCCAGAACTGCACGCCGCGGTCCTTGCTCCCGCTCACCACCCAGTTCGCGTCGTGCGACACCGCCACACTGAGCACATAGTCCTGGAATGCACACTCCGCGTCCAGTCCAGTCCACCGCCGCAAACAACCACGCACCTTGTGCCCCGTGAAATTCATCGTACACATCCCCTTCTCCTCCTTTTTCCCGTTCCCGTTCGCGCTGGGCCCCCTCCGCTCCCCCACACCCCGCACATCCCAATACCTCAGCGTCTTATCCAAGCTCCCGCTCACGAGCCCCTTCCCATCCGGCGTAAACGCGACGCTATACACACTATCCTGATGCCCCCTCAACCTCTCCAGGAGCGTCCCCGTCTGCACATCCCATATCCGCACAATCGCATCCAAGCTCCCGGCAGCGACCAAATGTCCCCCGGGGCTGATCGCGACGCTCGTGACGCCCGCGTCGCCCGCGCCCTTCTCGGGCGGCGTCGGCGCCTGCGCGGGCTCGTCGCCGCCCTCGCCCGCGCCGATGTGCAGCACCTTTGACGAGCCGTCGAGCATGTCCCAGATGCGCGCGGTGCGGTCGCCCGAGCCGGAAACGATGAGCCGCCCGTCGTGCGAGAAGGCGAGCGAGTAGATCTCTTGCTGGTGCCCCTCGAAGGTCGTGCGGATCTTGCGCTTTTGGATGTCCCAGATCTACGTAGGGGGGGGGTGAGAGAGGGTGAGGGGGGAAGGGGGCGAAGCGTACCCGGATGGTCTTGTCCTCGGCGCCTGTGGCGAGGAACTTGCCGTCTGGGCTGAAGCACACGCTGCGGATGTACAGGTCTCGTTGTTTGTCTGCTTTCTCGTCAATGAGGACGCTGCGGGTGATACGAGTCAGTTATGGATGACTGGGGTACGTGACGCTCGATCCCACCAAGTCTTCTGCCCCGTCTTTGCGTCGTAAATCTGTGCGGTGTGGTTGCACCCCGTCGCGAGATACTTGCCGTCTGCGGAGAATCTTACGCAGCATACGACACTGTCGAAATAATCCATCGGGGTTCTCCCTGGCTGTAACACCGGGACTCACCTCTCATGCATAAGCGTGTGCACCAGATTCACATCGAGCGCCCTCTTCACCTTGGGGTTAAACACCGCAAACCAGTCGCTCCCCTCCTTCTTCAGCTCCGGCGGGACGTTGTGCGGGTCGATCTCCTCGCCCGCGCCGGGGGCGGCGCCGTTGCTCGCCTCGGCGGGCGGGTACGGCTGCGGCTGGTTCGCGGGCGGGGGCAGCTTGCTCGAGGAGGGGAGCGGGTGCGGGAGGCTCGGGCTGAAGCCGAGATCGGGGCGATCGGTCTTGATGACGCGCTCGCGGTCGGTCTTGATGCGCTTGCTGTCGCGCGCGTCGGGCAGGCGGTCGCGGTCCCTGTCTCTATCCCTTTCTCTGTCCCGCTCTCGGTCTCTTTCGCGTTCCCGCTCGCGCTCCCTGTCGATGGCGAGCGAGCGGTCGCGGTCGCGGTCCCTATCCCGCTCGCGCTCGCGGGCCCCGTGAAAACCCGCGTCGAAGCCGGCGCTGCCTGGCGGGCCCGGGGGCTGGCTGAGCATGACAGGGGTGGAGCGCTCGAGCGGGGGGGCGCCGGCAGGGCCAGGGCCAGGGCCGGGCCCGGGGGTGGGCTGGGCGGCGGTGAGGGCGGCGGCGGTGGCGGCGGACTGCTGGCGGTAGCGCTCGAGCTCCTGGGAGAGGCGCGCGATCTCCTCGTCGTAGCTCTGGCGCAGCTTGGCGTGCGAGTTCTCGAGCTCGTAGATGGACTGGCGGATGATGTTGAGTTCGTTGACTTGGCCGGTGACTGGAGGGGGTGAGGGGTGTTGTATGGGCTGCTGATAGAAAAGGACAGACCTTTGGACTCGAATTCGTCCCGCTGGGAGCGCAGAGCGGTGTTCTCCTGTGTGATGCCGTCGAACTCCTGGCGGATGATTTCGAAGCATTCGTTGAGGCGGGCGGCGGGCTCGCGGTTGGGCGGCCCCGTCGGCTGCAGGCTCCGGTGCTGAAAGGCGTTTAGAGGATGTCGGCGCAGGGGGAAGGGACTTACGTTGTAGATGGAGGAGGACATGGTGGCGGGACGAGCGAGCGCTGAGAGTCAACAAGCACAACGCCTTTCGAGCCACGTGCACCCGGTCTTCATCCCGCCGGCATTGGCCTCTCATCTAGTTGCCGGCTCCGGTGTCTTGTTGCCATCAATTGCCACTAAACTTGCCTTGTTCTCATGGCGTCCTCCTGCAAGGCGCTGTGCCTTGTCAGCGCCATATATTCTTGTGTCTTGACACGGTGACGCTTGCGGGATCCCGCATGCACACGCTTCTGCTGCATACCGAATGACAGAGACGGGTGTCGTTCTGGCTGCGCCCTGACCAAGCCCTGGCTGAACTTTAGACGTCCTATTTCGAGACGAGGATAGCAAGAACGTGCATCTACTCAACGCCAACCTCGACCTCCCCAGAATTAGAACATGCAAGGGTAAGCACCATCCCTGCTCAAGCCACCGAGTGGTAAAGTCTGGTCACTACTGACCGAGTGTTCCCGTTGGGCTATCTGGCCAAATGCGACTCTGGACACACGAGGACGAGCGGCCGTCATACGATAGATACTTATTATGATCGGGGAGAATCAAATACATGAGATATACGGATGTGCGCTGGCATTTCAGACTAAAGATGCTGAGCGGCGGTCTGCGGTTTTTCGAAACAGCCCTCTCGGGACCGGAGCCACTACTGCACCAGCCACGGCGCAGGCTTTTGCGAGGGACATTTCCAGTCGCTTCGCCCGGGGCTCAAGGCATCCCAGGGACTTGAGTTCCCCGCCCGCCTGAGTATAACAGACCAAATCATCACTTCCACCCCTCCGCATACACACAAACGAAGCGTGACATACCCGTCTCCGCACCACCTCGTACTCGGACCTTCACAGCTCCTTCATCACCACCTGCGCGAGCTGCTCCTCCTTCGGCGCGACCTGCAGGTAGCGCGCGCCGTCCAGCCCGCCGCTCGGCAGCTTCCCGAACACCTCGTTGCGCTGCGCACTCGAGAGCTTGACCGTGGCGTCGACGTACGGTTTTAGCTGCAAGGCGTCGTATGAGCTCTGAGTAAGATACGGAGAGCGGAGAAGGAGGCATGGGGGGAAAGAGAGGGAGGAGAGGGAGACGCACCCGCGCAGCGTTGAGCTCCTCCACGGGCGGCGCGACGAACACGCGCACCTGCTCGTCGACCAGGCGGTACTTCGCCTTGCCGCGGACGACGAACTTGCCCGGCGCGCCCGTGCGGTGGGCCCCCGGCAGAAACGCTTGTCTCGTCCCTGTTCGACAAAGATACAAGTCAGCGGGGTATGGGAAGAGCGGATGGAACGGCACGCACCCTTGTAAAAGTCCTTGTTTCCGCGCTTGGGCGTGAGTGCCCGCCGGGAGGCTTTCGAGAGCGCGGCGAGCGTCGGGTGCATGGCGGGCCTCCCTCAATTGTCAGTTCTACAGCGTACTTGCGAGCAGTTTATTTAGCGCCCGAGTGATCGACGAGAGTTCCCACGCCTCTATATCCCTCGTGACTTCACTTCACCGTTCTCATTCTCCTTCTCATCCACTGTATACTCTACTTAGTACTGGACAGTGACCGCTACGCATGGGCAAGAAAAATGCAGGCTCCTACAGGGGCGCGGCGAGGCAGCGCGCCTCGACCAAGGCGCGCCGCGCAAGCCTGAACAAGCCACGGCAGGGGAAGCTCGGGTTTGGGCGGGACGTGGAGGAGGTCAGGCCAGAGAGCGCGGTCGACGAGGGGAGTGGGAGTGGGAGTGGTAGCGAGGAAGGTACGTTAATCCCTTCCACACTGCCTAACCAACTAGACCGTATGCTAATGGCCTGGGATTGGAATTGGCAGACGGTGAATCGGAGCAGCTGGCGATCGAGGTGCCCGTGGCCATGTGGGTTCGTACGCGCCCCTTCCCCTCCCCTTTCCCGCGCGATCCCCTGCCCGCACGCGTTCATTGTGTTGTGCGTTCCGAAGGACTTTGACCACTGCGACCCCCGCCGGTGCTCGGGCAAGAAGCTCGCAAGGATGGGGCTTATAAGGGATCTGCGGGTCGGGCAGCGCTTCCGCGGCGTGGTGCTCTCGTGAGTGGTTCTCCTCGTCTCAGCGTGGAAGCGGGACGCTGTGGGGCCTTCTGCCACAAAGATGAAGCAGCAGTCCCAGCAATTATAATTCAACGCTAACTGCGGGAATGATGTTGGCAGGCCCAAGGGGACGCAGCCTATCAGCCCCGCCGACCGCGACATCGTGCTCGCAAGCGGGCTAGCCGTCGTCGAGTGCTCCTGGGCGCGGCTCGACGACGTCCCCTTTGGGAAAATAGCCAGCCCGCACGAGCGATTGTGTGAGTACCGCCCCTTCATCTAATTTACTGAAGAGTAAAGACTTCGGAGCACTGAAGCGATCATCCAGTGCCGTACCTGCTCGCCACGAACCCGACGAACTACGGCAAGCCGTGGCGCCTCAACTGCGTCGAGGCCCTCGCGGCCGCGTTCTACATCACCGGGTTCCCCGAGTATGCGGAACGCCTGCTGGGCGTGTTTGGCTGGGGGGACGCGTTTTGGAACGTGAACAAGTGAGCTGAGGTCTTTTTCTTTGCTTCGGGGTATCCGAGGATCCGGTTGCGTGTGCGAGAGCTGAGCGGTGCGTGCAGGGATTTGTTACAGCGGTACCAAGCGTGCACGTCTGCGGCGGAGGTGGCGGCCGCTCAGGAGCAGATTATGCAGGACCTTGAGACGAAGTACGAGGAGGTGCGGCGGGATAAAGGTGAGACCCCACCTCCAGTTAGGCTGCGCGTCATTCTCATCATGTTCCCAGATAGCACCGATGAATATGGAGCGGATTGGCTCACGGCAAACCCAAATCATCAAGTGGAAGGAGATGGAGATGATGAGGAGGGTAGCGGCGAGGAGGCTGAGAGCGCCGCGGTGGATCGTATCACTTCGGACTTGGATGCAGTCAAGATCTGAGGAAAATGCCAATATGTTGCTGAGAAGTAAAACAAACCGTGTACTGGTAGCTGGGTGTACGAGGGTGTACGATAATGTAGTCGATGCTACTTGAATGAATATTTTAGTATTTTATGAGAATTCTGCTGGATTTTCCTGACCCGCGCGAAATCTTTAGATAACTCGTCAGATCTCCGCGAGTCACCTCCAGCCTCCTGCTCTATTTCTTCATCTCTCGCTACCGTCTTTCCTTGCCTCTGGCTCCTCCTGGGTGATCTACACCATGCGGTACTATGAGCAGCGTTATCCGGAGGTCGACGAGCTGGTGATGGTCCAGGTCCGTCAGATAGCAGAGATGGGTGCCTATGTCAAGCTGGTGAGAGCTTTACTCCTCCTCGCAGCCCGTGTTAGGCCTGATAAATCTTGCTGTAGCTCGAATATGATAATATTGAAGGAATGATCCTGCTCTCGGAGCTCTCGCGTCGTCGTATCCGATCCATCCAAAAGCTGATTCGAGTTGGCCGGAACGAAGTCGTGGTCGTGCTGAGGGTGGACAAGGAGAAGGGTGCGTCCCTCTGCAATCGCACGCCTGCCCACGTATGCTGATTCAAGGGATTGCTCTTCTGTCCAGGGTACATTGATCTGTCCAAACGCCGTGTCTCCCCAGAAGACATCGTCAAGTGCGAGGAGCGCTACATGAAATCCAAGACCGTCGCCTCCATCCTGCGGCACGTCGCCTCGAAGCTGCCCTCGCTCGACGCGAACGGCCTGCCCGTCGACGCCCCCCCGGAGGCGGAGAAGGAGAGCAAAAAGAACCGGCGCGCGAAGAAGGAGGCGCAGGAGGCGGGCGAGGGCACCGTGGAGGAGAACGCCGCGGCCTCTGCGAGCGAGGAGGAGCGCCTGGAGCAGCTGTACGAGCAGATTGCGTGGCCGTTGGGGAAGGTGTACGGGCACCCGTATGATGCATTCAAGCTTGCTCTCACGTCCGTGTGTTACGATGTCGCAGCAAAGATGGGTACTAATCGGGTGCTTATACAGGGAAAAGGACACGGTATTCTCATCATTACCGAATCCCGTGCCAGAAAATGTCCTGCAAATACTGATGAATACGATTGCTCGGCGACTGACGCCTCAGCCCATCAAACTACGAGCCGACATCGAGTTGACGTGCTATACCCCAGCTGGCATTGACGCGATCAAGAAGGCCCTGCGGGCGGGAGAGAAGGAGAGTAGTGATGCAGTCCCAATAAAGGCCAAGCTTGTGGCACCCCCTCTTTACGTCCTCAGCACAAATGCGACGGACAAAGTGAGCTTGAGCTCCCCATCTCGCCCAGAATGTCCACTGATCCCCCTCTTCAGTTTGCAGCTGTAGACAGACTGGAGCGTGCAATTGACTCCATACAACATACCATCGAAGAGCAGGGTGGCGCATTGGTGGTAAAGATGAAGGTATGGGGTACCGGTATCCACGGTGCAGAAGGTATACTGATAAATTGGTTTTATAGCCCAAAGCCGTCTCCGAGACCGAAGAGCACGACCTTGCACAGCTCATGGCCAAGGCCAGCCGCGAGAACGCGGAGGTGTCGGGTGATGAAGACGACGAAGAAGCTATTGCATAATCTCGTGTACGGCGTAGGCCCATGTAGCTTAGAATATCTCGAGGATCGTATTTGTATCGGTATAAGCAAATGTCATAGCGTGAACACGATCGACTCTAGCTAAACGTCCATAATTCCGCAACGACGTCGGTATCTGGCGCCGCCTCTGTCAACTCGTTTTTACTCGGGAACAACTCCGTTTTGTCGACATCAGTCGCTGGATCTTTCCTGATCCTCGGCTTCGTCTCATTGTCTAGCAACTACGGCACGACGAGATTAGTTCGGGAGGATTGGAGGGATTATGGTCACGTACAGTAGCGTATGTGTGGTCGAGGAAGTCTTCCAGGGCATACCCAGGTTTTGTGAAGGCCTCCTCGAATATCCGAACTAAGGTGGACACAGCTGGGTGGTAGTGTGTTCGATGAGAGTAGAGTTCCCAGAGCGAAGAATCCAGCGCATTTGTCAGGTTTGGATTTGGCTCCTCCAAAATAAACGGGTCTGCGTCGGGCGTGTCAGCAAAGAGATAAAGTGTGCGCACGGTCTACAACACGGCACCTATAGGTTCGTCAGCATCCGCAACCCGATGGATCATGCCCATGAGTGTAGGGTGACGCTTGAGGATGTTGTAGGTGAATGGCACGAGCATGATGATCGCAGCTGGAGGTGCATTGAGGGATAGCCGCGAGAGCTTTTTGAGGAAGGATGCGAGTAATGTTGCGGGCAGGTGGCTGAACAGGGTCCAACCTCAGCGATGGAATGTACTGACGAGACAAAAACCTACGTAGAACTCAGGAACAGTTCTGTCATACGGAAGAACCGTGCGCGGTGCTTCAGATGGAGGATGTCCCGATCTAGGAAGGCGTACAGGCGGGTGTAGAAAGATGGATAATCACTAGGAACTACCGGTCAGCACGGAGGACAAGGCCAAAGTGCGCTGGGGGGATACACTCACAGGTTGTATTCCCGCATAAGAATGAACAGCGTATTCAAGCCGAGTAAGCCAACTGCACCACCTGAAGTGTTTCCGTAAACCATAGTCCGCAGGCACAAACCCATACGAGGCAACAACAAGATGCCTGTGCGGCGGATGTTGACTGAAGGACGTACCGTAATCAACGCAAGCCGCTACCCAGTCCATAACCAGCACTGGTCGGGTGAGATGAGGCAGCACACCCTGGTGCATAATGTTTAATACACGGAGTGATAGCTTCCTCTGCGTCTCTCCAGATAACGAAGAAAGCTGCTGTAGGAGAACCAACCAAGCACGGGTGAAAACCGCACGATGCGCAGGGAGGGAGTGCAAGGACTGGTGTATCGTCAACGTGTGCAGACGCGCATTTTGCTTCTTGGGTCCGGTGGAGGATGTCGCTTTCGGATCGGTTTCTTCTTCGAAGAACTTTCGCCAATCATCCTCCTCTTCGCCGTCTACTGCAGCTTCTTCAGGTTCGTCAGAGTTGTCGTGCTTATGCTTGGGAGGCTTCGTCCCGAGTTCCTCAACCCACCATGAGTTGAGCTCCGACGTGTCAGTAGGGAAACTCCTGAGTCTCTCCAGGAGCGAGACTAGGTTCTCTATCACGAACGGTCTTTCTCCTGAACTTAGGTTCGCTACTAAGGAGCTGATCCGGGGATGAGTAAGTAGCACGATCAAGTAAACCATGACATACGTTGCTTCACGCAGGAAGAACCACCGAATATCATCGTGGACGCTCAGCCAAGTCTCCAAGAATTGATCTCGCACGTCCGGATCCAGCAGCCTGTCCTCCGTACCGACTTTGTGGCTGTTGTTCCGCCTTGAAGGAGGACAAAACAGGAGAGAGCGAACAATCTTCTTGTAGTGGGAAACATGGAACTGCGGCTGGGGATTTGAACTGCTCTCTTTCACGGCCAGAGTGAGCGACGTCGAAAGGTGTCGGAGAAGGGAAAAGAGGATCTGCAAGGACGAAATCTGGGACGGAATCTTAGACTAGGTACATAGGGAATAATTCAGTAAACTCACCCTCAGAGTCTTCTCCTCATCTTTCAATAGTCCGGTTAGAAAGTCGACATACCCATTCAGTTTCTCCCAGATCCAAGTCCGGACGAGTTTTGCGGCCTCGTCGCCCTGGGTCTTGAGTTCTCCTTTGTCAATAATGAGCACAAACACTCTGTAGTTTGCATACAGAGCCTTCGAAACGACCCGTGGATCCGACGCTCTGAGGATGACATTGAGCAGGTCGTCCAGAGGATTGAGTGACCCATTCGCGTTTATGGCGTCCGTGAGTTGTCTTTCGAGTTGTTGGATACCTTCAATACTGCGTGAATCCGACCCTTCATTTCCACTGCCGATCTTGCGCTTCTTAGCTGGAGGAAGGGAATGCATTGAAGCGAGAGCGAGACAAGTGGTAAAGGCTCAGTAGCGCAAGTACAGAGAAGTTATTTTTAGAACAACTTATTGCAAGCTTTCCCTCTCGAAATTTTCGGATAGGTTGCAACATCCGAATTGTAGCACACAGGTATTCATATAGAGTATTCATGATCATGTCATCAATTACCAATGCGCCCTACACACAGAATATATCGATACAAATGGATAAATAGATAAGACAGCCACAATCATGTTGTCAAACAGTAGTAGTAGTAGACATCCAAGAAGCAGAGACTAGACTGGACGCTCCGCCGCGAGGAAGATTGCAATTACACAAGCCAAACAAGCTATGAGATGGGAGATGGATATGAGACAGTTCATGTTGCGTCTAGATGAACAGCGGCATCCGCGACCATCCCTAGCGTCCGGATCACCTCCCCGCTTAGCCGTCCATGCTGAAAAGATCGTCGTCGTCCCCGGTCAGGACCGGCCCACTCAGCGGGCTCATCGCTTGGTGCTGGCTGCGTCCGCTGACGGTGCGCGCACCCATCCCGACGGGAGGGACGGCGGAAGGCGCGGTGGACTGCTGCGTGGGTGTGGTGCGGCCAGCCGCAGCGGTATAGGAAAGCCGAGACATCATAGAGTCGAGCACGTCCATCGCCGTCGCGCCCGGGGGAGGAGTCGTACCGAGAGGCATATGGTCACCCAAGCCTCGCCCGGTGATGCTCGAGCTGAGGTTGGAAATCTGGGGCGGACTGAACGCAGCGGAGCCGGCAGGAGAGGGAATAGACGGAGGAGGCCGCGCGTGGATCCTCGAGTATCCAGCGGCAAGTCCTTGAGGGAGACTCTGCCCCGGTGCGTGAGCTTGCAACGCCCTCGCGGAGGGGGAGAAAGCGTCGCCGTTGGGACCCAGACCTTCCGTATGAACAGGGATGGGTCGTCCAGCGGCCTGTCCCGCCACCGTCCTGCCGCCTAAATAAGGATCAGTAGGGACGGACTCGAAGGGCGGGCGACCCCCGTAGGCCCCGAAGCGAGGCGGAGAGAGCGCCGCGCCAGTGAAACCACCGGCCTCGGCAACCGTAGGAGGCATACCTGCACCCGGACCTGGCGGGAAGTTGTTCGAATACGACGAAGACGGTCCGATCCTGCTGCTGGGAGGATCCATCCGTCCCACTCCGGTAGACCTGGCGTTCTTGTAGTGATGATGTAAGCCCGGCAAGAACGCGGCGGACGCGTTGGTCGGTGATATAAGGGAAGGCGATAACGTATCCTCTGCATAGGCGCGACCACCGAACCCTCCATTGGACGCGAACGAGCTTGGCGATCCGTTGCCTAACCCGGGAGAAACGCCCAGGGCTGGTCCCCCAGCGCCATTCTCGCTCCATATGGACTTGAGGTCGTTCAGCAGAGAAGCGGCAGGAACGGAGCGTGAGTGACGGTGGTGAAGCTCCGAAGACCGAGGAGCCGATCCCTCACGAAAGGCGGCGACGCCAGCAGGGACAGCACCGTTTTGACCCGAGTTGGTGCGCGAAAATCTCCTGGACCTTTCCTCCGGAGTGAGAAGGTCCGTCAGAGAACTCGGAATCAATTCTTCCAGGTCGTCGTCTTCAACAACGACTTCGGTAGCCATACCACGAGCTCCCATGTCCTGACCTGGACCAAGTCCCCACGTCCTGGTCGCGCCAAGGGAGGCTGCAAGCCCGGACCGGAAATTAGCATGGCTGTGAATCTCCGTCTTCTCATACGACGTGACGAAAATGGATTGTGTGTGGGGTGCTGAGAAAGGAGATGACGGAACGAACTCGCCCTTCGATGGTGAGGTGCCCGGTGAGAAGCCGTCGATTCTGTTCGAAGCCTGGGCAGCAGAAGACGACTTTGGTGGAGATCCGATGGGACCAAGGTCAGAGGGACTGGCCGCAGAACGGTTCCGAGGGGCAGCGGGGTTGCTAACTGGGAGGGGTGAGGGAACCTTTTTCGTGGTCGGGGTAGTGCTTTCCTTCTCGGCCGTGGACTCGGAATTGGTAGCCTGCGACGCCTCTGGTGCAGGCTCAACCGTACCCTCCGAGGTGGTCTTGCGCTGCGCAGGAGCAGACGGAAGCTTACTTTCGTCTGGAATAGCAAAAGATGCAAAGTCTGTATCCTTGATGGGCGGTGCGGGGGCGGATGGCGAGATGGTTGCTTTGAGTGGGACGGACATGGGCGGACGAGAGCTCGACAGAACACGAGTAGGGGCAGTAGAGCCGCCAAGCAAAGAGTTGCGCACTGTTGCATTTCCCCCTCCTGCCCCGTTGACGGAGTGGTTGTTCTTGTGACCTCTGCCCTTGTCTTTTCCCTGGCCTCCCCCGCCCCCGCCGGCGTTCGCTGCAAGCTGTGCAGCTTTCTTATTCTTCCTGTCCATAGCCATGGGCTGTCCCGGAAGGATGTGGGCAAGAGCGCATTTGTGCCCAAACTTGCAGTTGCCCTTGACGAACCAGGCGCAGACGTCCTTCGGCTGACCAGGCTCCGCTAGGGAATGCGAGAAGGGACAGGAGGAGCCTGCAGTGCATGACCCGACCTTGAAGAACTTGCAGGGCACATGCGAAAGGTCCTTCGCTGCGAGTGTGAGATTAGATTGAGGTTTGGACTGCGCTCAAGCTATCGGACGACGCAGTACATGCCTTTGCCGCCAGGTTTTGGTCCTTTGCCTGCCCGCTCTCTGTCTCTATCCTGCGACCTGTCTTTCTCCCTGTCGTGCTCGATGCCGCCGTCAGCCTCGTTCCTCTTCTCGGCGACAGGCATTTTTAAGGAGAAATTGGGATAAGAAAATTTGTGGGAGGAGGCTGGAGAGAACGGGGGCTCGTAATGCAACGGGGCAAAGGCGGCAAAGAATATAAACGATGCCTAATGTGGAAGCCCGAGAGAGAATGGCAGAGCAGCAGAGGATGGCGAGAGAACCCGAGTGAGCTCGCCGTCGTCGTCGAGAGTGCTCAGCTGCTCTGTTCGGCGACCGCCGCACTAGCACTCACGTGGCCTGGACTTGACGCTAGCCGTAAGTACATGTCCCTCTCGGAGAAGCCGCGCTACTCTTCCCTCTTATTGTCCGCTGAAACACACCGAAAAGTACAGCTTGCGAGCGCGCCTCGTACCCGCCCAACTCACCATGGACGCCGAGTTCCTCGTCAGTCACAACTACCAGGTGCTGGATGTCATAGGAGAGGGCGCCTATGGCGTTGTCTGGTGCGTCTTGGTCTCGGTGCAAGCAAGTGTGGCGTGCTGACCGCCGATGCAGCTCTGCGATGCATGTGCCGACCCAGCGAAAAGTCGCTATCAAGCGTATCACCCCGTTCGATCACTCTATGTTTGCTCTCCGTACTTTGCGCGAGATCAAGCTGCTGCGCCACTTCCACCACGAGAACATCATCTCCATCCTTGATATCTTGCGCCCCACCAGTTTGGATGATTTCAAGGAAGTGTACCTCGTGCAGGAGCTTATGGAGACGGACCTCCACCGCGTAATCCGGACCCAGGAGCTGAGCGACGACCACTGTCAATACTTTATTTATCAGGTATGAGTTTCTCATGTGCCTGTCGCTCCAGTCTAATTGGACTACATTACACTTTGCTGCTTGATCCCAGACGCTCCGGGCGCTAAAGGCACTGCATTCCGCGGACGTGCTGCATAGAGATCTGAAGCCCTCGAATCTCCTGCTGAACGCGAACTGCGACCTGAAGGTGAGCAGTAGCTTCGTCGTCTTACCCGCCTTCCTCCGTTTGTTTGGGTCTGGGTGTGCGGGTATATGCACTGCAACGGCCGGGAGTACGTAATTACAGGCCACATCTGAACGTCCATCTTTTCTTTTCTAGCTCTGCGACTTCGGACTGGCTCGTTCAGCCCGCCCGCCTCCAAACGTGGATGATACCAGCACGTTCATGACTGAATATGTCGCGACTAGGTACGTTTGCACGTGTTGTCTACCAGCCCCCGCCGTGTGGCGCATATCAACGTTCCGGCAGGTGGTACCGCGCACCCGAGGTGATGCTTACGTTCAAAGAGTACACGCGCGCTATAGACATATGGAGCGTTGGCTGCGTCTTGGCGGAGATGCTCAGCGGCAAGCCGTTATTCCCAGGACGAGATTGTACGTGCGTCTCGCCGTGACATCCTCGGCTCCGCGCTCGCTCACGCCCGCCTTTCCTCCATGCGCGCTGATGTCTGCGCAGATCACCACCAGCTCTCGCTCATCCTAGACATCCTCGGGACGCCGTCCCTGGATGATTTCTATGCCATTACTTCGCCTCGCTCTAGAGAGTACATACGCGCGCTCCCTTTCCGGAAGAAAAAACCTTTCTCGACGCTGTTCCCGAACGCGAATCCCTTGGTAGGTATTGTAAAGCTGTCATAGCTGAATAGTATTGATCGTTACCCAATAGGCCATCGACTTCCTGGAGCAATGTCTGACTTTCAGTCCCAAGAGACGGATACAAGTAGAGGAGGCATTGAAACATCCATACCTCGAGGTGAGTAGTTGTAAGCATATGCTGCTTGTGGCTTGCTGCTATCCCGATCCCGGGGTCCTAAGCCTCCTCTGGGCTATGTGCCTAAGAGCTCGCTTGAACCCGGACTGATGTCAAGGGTCATCGGAAATCCTTTCAGCACTGCCATGTCTGCAGGATGGGTTCGGTCTTTGGCATCCTGTGGATGCGGCACTGATGTTCTCTCTCCCTAGCCATACCATGATCCACAAGACGAGCCCACTGCAGAGCCGTTAGACCCCTCCTTCTTTGACTTTGATAATGGCATACCACTTGAAAAGGAAGAGTTGAAAGGTCTGTTGGCATGTCACTCTGGGTCTGCTTGCACTGACTTCAGGCTATCCACTAGTGCTCATATATGAAGAAATAATGAAGCCATAACTGCTATTTGTTGGATAACTCTTGCACTGCTCAGAACATAGTTTAGTATACCCTGACTAATCTTAGCATTATGAATACTGCCACTAGTATGGGGACACACACCCAGCTTTCTAATATGAACAATCATGACTTGCAATCCCTGACAGCTGGAATATAACTTGCTATATATAATACATGAAGCAATCTACAGTGATGGACAATGTGTAGCTTCAGAATTTTGAGCCCAGTCATAATGCCCAGTGAAAACTGACATCGATGTGGTTGATTTACTTGAATTCAGGACGCAATGGTCATCAAAGACCAGAAACAGTTTGCAATAGAAGGGAATGTATTTCCACATGTTAGCTAGATTTGTTCGAATCCAAATTCAATTGCACATCTGATCCTCAATGTGATTCCAGTGCAACCACAGTTGGCCTTGGCTTTATGATACCAAGCTCTTCCAATATTAGTCAAGTAGAGCACAAATATTCTCATTGCCATTGACAGGTATCTTGTAATCCAGGCTCCTAGAACCATCTGTCTTGTGTCCTCGATCCTCTCTGGACTTCAGTCAAGTGACCGCATGACCTCAACAACATGGGGGAGTTGGCAATGCCTGCCAAATTCAAACTCTGTAGTGCATGTCAGGCTTCAGCCACGCAAGTGAAATGCTGGTTACAGCTTGTAATACACTTTTTGGGATGAGGAGACATTCTAAAACAGCGAAAAATCTTTGGATATTCTTTGATGTTATATAGAAACCATCCTTCCAGCTTGATTTTTGATACACTGCCTTGTATGTGCTATAAGACCAAGTTTAGAGGGCTGAGGTGATAGGTTAACCAGGAGAGGGACACAAATGGAGAATTCTAACTGGAAGGATGGGATCATCACATCTAAAAATATATTCCCATTTTTACTCTAATTAAAGTGTGATACTGAGTGAGAAAAGTGCACCACATGCAACACACACCAGATAGCTATAGTCGGCATTTGCCGAGACATGTCCGTTGATGTGTTTTCAATGCATTTTGATAGAACACGTCCCTTCTGACAGCTCGCGCTGCTATTCTCGGTGTGCATGTGCATCAGTGATTTTCACAGCCCTTCTCCCTTGGGAAAGCAGAATTCTCTTTATTGCATATATTACATCAATACTACTGTAGATATTATACCAGCTGTATAAAGTATCAAAGTGTCTCTTTATTGTGCAGGAATAGATCATTCAGTCCAAGGTTGGCAGAGGAGAACGGCCTGTGGTGCAAAATGATGTGCGTGTGACAACCACGGTCACACAGACATTTGGCTGGCAGGCATTGCCGACTCTCAGTCTGAGAGTAATTCCATGAATTTCAAGTTGACCGTGCCCAATGACTGATTATGTGTGTGCATGGCATTTGTGGAGGCATCACATTCCCAACACAATGCCAATAATATTGATTGCAGCACCTGTCAGGGGGATGGCACAGAAGGGGGCTGGGGGGTTTCTGCAACCCTGTGGATTGGACAAACAGCTTCAATCACTGGCCACACTTTTTACCAATTTCCCCACAGTTAAGCTGACAGCAGGCTATCAATATTGCCCAACAAACCAGACTCAGAAATGCAATACAAATCTCACCATTTGATTTACAAAAGTACACAACTACCCTTAAAAATACCACAGATCATACAAATGCAGCTGGGAATACTACAAAAGTGGCCCCAGAGCCTCTCCAAAGCATTACAAGCAACCCAAAAAAGTCCACAAACTATACAAAACCATGCAAAACCTGCTTGGTACCCATACAAATGTCATGATGGAGGCCCAATATGCCACATCAAGCCACTACAAATCCTCCACAAATCTTACAGAAGACCACAAATTGTGTACACATTACTAGGACTTATCTACAATGATTTACAAGTAACCACAAATGTCCCATGAACGATTTAAAAATCATCCAAAAAGACTACAAAACATCACAAAACCCACCTGCATACTTGTACGAACCACTCCCCCTACCCCACAAGAAAGTTCTACAAAACATCTGCCAGAGTTGTAAAAGAATCCTTGTACTACAAGTGGTCTACAACGTACAAGGTTCAGTGGGCTTTAGTGGTAATTGGTATGACAAAAGTTGAGACCACAACTCCAAATTTTACCAATGCCCATTATAAACCCACAAGTTTGGACAAACTACAGTGAAAAGGTCTACAAAGTCTTTCAAAACACATCCCACACACTTACAAATTTGTACTAAATGCCCCCCCTACAGCTCACAAATCATTACAAAGGATCCTGCTAAAGTGTACAAATATCATACAAATTGGTCCAAATAACCATACAAATGTTCACAAAAGTATGCAGATTCAATACAAATGTAAGCCTGGTGGGCTTACTAGGTTCCCATATGTAACATATATACCTGTGAGTGGCTGAGAAAGCAGTTCTCAGTCATATCACCTTTTGGTGTAATGGTTAGTGTTACAGGTCTTGACCCTCTTATATGACTGAGAACTTAGGGGTGGCAGGTTCAATTTGGGCTGGAGCCACTTCCAACGTGTGCCCTTGGGGCGGTCATATATGTGCCCTCACCTCACTATTACACAAATGGCTAAGCCCCTAGGGATTAGGGCCCAGTGATATGCACTACACACAACAACCACGAAAAACCAAGGGAAAACAACCTAACACACCCAGTGGTATGGGTGGAGGTGGTCTGAGATGACTGAAGGGTATAAAGTAGTTCGAGGGGGAAAGGAGGAGTAAGACGACATAGGGTAGTCCATAGGAAGACTAGAAAAAGAAAACAAAGCCTTGATGCCTGAAACAAACATGAATCGAAGCTCCAGAATATGTATCTCCAAAGAATTGAAAATAAACAAAGGTCGCAAGCACTGACAACTAGTGTAGGATTATGCTTGCAGGGATAGAAATTGCCAGAGAGACTTGGTTAATTTTATTTTGCTATGTAATACTCATGGGAGCTAATATTTTAACGGCAGAGATAATTCAATCGACGAGTCAGGCCTATTGGCAAAGCTAGAATCAGTCGTAAACACCTCTTGCTGTAGTATTATTACATTATTCACCCAATGCTACCGTGTACCCTATTACATTAAACAGGCTACACATGCGGTGTTTATGCATTATTCTCCCCAATACCTTATAGAGCTACCAGCAGCCGAGCAGGGCTTGGATACGACAGCCCCGGCATCTCCGGCATGGAGATCCAAATCAGGATTTGATACTGAGCTGTTGCCAATAATAGGTGGGTACCCTTACCTGGCCCTGTAGGGCCCAGAAAAATACGGAAAAATACGGACAAATCATACTATATTTCTGGGGCCAGGCCCAATGGTACCGGACCTATACATAGCTTGGGAATTTGTCTAGAGCGCCACACAATAGCTACTAGCAGCTGATATAAAATCAGGACAAATGCGCAAAAATCTGGGAAAAATCATGGAACCTGCTGTGGATGACGGCACAAATGTGGCATCACTATATTATATCAGCACATGGCAGCAATTCATGTGGGATACCTCCAGGATCTACATTTCAGCCTCTTTCCATATCTGGGGTTTATTTGTCCTTGCTGTCAATGTTGTTACTAATGTAGCGGTTAAAATAGTGCATAGGATTCGGGAGTGCTTGTCCTAATCATGTGTAGGTATCATGGGCTGTGCATCACTGTACAAAAATTCTTTTCACCACCGGCTCTTTTCGCATTTTCCCACACTATTGCTATGCCACATTGCTGGGCAATTGGGGATCTTACTCAGCCCATATAAGGCTACATGTTTGCATAAGACCCCAAGAGATTCTGAGCAACAGGTGTCTAACTACTCCTTTTGGGTATTACTCCTATGGACACCCCATGACTACCACTTGTGTTACTATGGGTTATAACACACTTCCCTTAGTGTATATTTCCATGTACCACCATGTGTGTCATTTTTGGGCCCACCCAGACCACCCTTGGTGACTTGGCACCAGTCATCCTCAAAAACACCTCTATCACACCACCCCGGGACAGCTTTTGACTGCTGGCTCTGAAACTGTTTTGAGCAATATCCCACACCTATACTATTTCTCATGCTATGCCCTTCAGGGACAGTGGTCACTCCATATAGGGCTATAGGTTTACATAAGAGTGCAGGAGAATCCAACTGCTCATCAATTAGCTACCGCTGTTCACTGGTACCCCTCCTGGAGCCTTCCCCCAGCAACCATTATCAAGTCTAATGGTCCATGCAACCTCTCCCTAGTGTATAGAGTAGTATACTATCAAGCTGCAACAATTTGCGCACAATTTGTGCCAATGATCATGGAGATACACAGATGCACTACCAACTACACCCAAGAACACCAAGATGTTGTTATACCCTATTAACCAGACATGATATCCTCCCGCAAACACTTGCTTATACCTCTCTAAGTATGCACAATCCATCATTGATCTTGTTCCAGCCACTTTGCTGTGTTCCATGCATCGGGGTGTGTCAGTTTCTGGGACAGGGCCAGCAGAACTGTCCCTAAGGCACACTGTGACTGTGAGCCATGTGGGACAGCTCAGACAAGATGGATGGTGGATGGTGCATACTTAGAGAGGTATAAGCGAGTGTTTGCAGGAGGATATCATGTCTGGTTAATAGGGTATAACAACATCTTGGTGTTCTTGGGTGTAGTTGGTAGTGCATCTGTGTATCTCCATGATCATTGGCACAAATTGTGCGCAAATTGTTGCAGCTTGATAGTATACTACTCTATACACTAGGGAGAGGTTGCATGGACCATTAGACTTGATAATGGTTGCTGGGGGAAGGCTCCAGGAGGGGTACCAGTGAACAGCGGTAGCTAATTGATGAGCAGTTGGATTCTCCTGCACTCTTATGTAAACCTATAGCCCTATATGGAGTGACCACTGTCCCTGAAGGGCGTAGCATGAGAAATAGTATAGGTGTGGGAGATTGCTAAAAACAGTTTCAGAGCCAGCAGTCAAAAGTATATTTCACTACCTGTAAGTAGCTTCCACAGAGTGGGATTGTTACCAAAGGTCCCAGCTACTCTTTCTAAATAGTTCCAGTGCAATCATTGTGTGAAATCATTCAAGGATGTGGCAGGAGAGCAAAAACACAGTCCTGATGGGCATTCCCTCATGTTTTA